TATATATATATATATATATATATATATTGTGGTCCAATTGTCCTAGCCATCAACGAAAGATGTCGGAACCATGGCCCTATAATTCCAGCCCCCGAGCAGTGGAATTTCAGCTTTCTGGTTGGGGCCTGGCCAGTAGTGATTATAAATTCCACCCACAGAACATGAATTAAGTTCTGGGTGAAGAGCATACCTGTTCTGGATGTTGTGCGGTTCCTCCAGGCACTTTCTGTATGGATAATGCCCTCACTGCCCCTCCACCTTCTCAATGTAGGAATCTAACTAGTGTGAGTGGAGGTATGTTTTGGAAGTTAACGTTTTCATAAATTGAAAATGTGTTTGCAATAATACTTACTTCGCTCACACTCATCTCTAGTTCTGTGCCACTGGAGAAGCCAATATGGATAGTTCTCCATTGGATTTGTGTAATCCTTCAAATATGAGACCAAGTGAACATACCCTTGATTGAGAAGTACAGTTGGGGGTGTTACCTGAAAGTGTAGCAAAGGCCACTTCTCTGCATTATAAACCAAGCCATTCCTGGTTGGGTTTTGTGTTCTCTTCGAGAAGCAGGTCTGAGATGTAATTTATCTGTACGTGATTATTCTGGTATCTCACCTGAGTGTTTCTCCAATATCTAACAACATTACTTATTGCTATAGCCACACTACACAATCATGCTCAGCTTACTACCTGTAATATAGTGGCTGGTCAAGCAATCTTACATTCTGCCCACCTATGCAACAATTTAGCACCTCATAAAAGATTCCTTTGACAATATCTTTTGCTCTACCACTTCTGTTATGCAGAGTATTCCCTGCTTAATGTGGATGTGGTCTCCCACTGATTGGTGTCCCACTAGCCACCCCCTCCCAGTGGGTTTTTCTTTTGTGATGCTCTTTTTCTAGAAAAAACTCATCTTTGTAAGTTCCTTATCTGCTCCAGTCCCTCCATTTTTAATGTGGAATTATATTTCTTTGTTGTACTTAGGGGGTAAGTAAATGTTTTTGAAGTTAACATTTTCCTTACCTGAAAATGTATTTCAAATAGATACCTACCTCTCTCTGCACACCCTCTATTTTACCTTGTCAAGAATGAGCCTTTGTTCAAATTCTAATGGCTATGGAGATTGCTATGCATGGAGGATGTGTCACCTTCCTATTGGTGGAGAGCTATAGTCTTGTGATGATTACTTCATAGGCGGTGCAGCACACGTTAATATGTATAGAGATAGGAGCTTCATTCAAGGCTTGTAACATGTGCAAAAATCATCATGACACTGGTGTGAGTAATAGCTTTTTATTGTGCACAGGTAAGTATCTATCAGAAATATATTTATATAGTTTCATGTATATTAGTATTTTATTTCTTCATATGTAGTTTACAAATATCTGAAACAATTGTGTTTGAGGTTAATTTATCCCGTGATGTATAATTTCCAGTCGAAGTGCCAAAGACAGATATACACATGAGGAGAAGAAAGAAATAGAAAACATGCAGCAGGATGCTTATAAAGAGTTAAGACAAGCTGCTGAGGCTCATAGACAGGTGTGATAATTTTCTAAAAACAAGCATAAAGTTTTCTTCGTACCTTTGACATCTTTTGGACACAGCTTGTTTCATAAAATGTCTCTATACTTAGATGTTCTTAATTGTTTTTTTTTTTCAGAATAGACTGTGTTCATATAAATTATGTCAGATTGTAGAGTTATCTGTGCAAACAAATTTTTAAAAGTAAGGTGTTTTCTTATGGAAATGTATTTATATTTAAAGTAACAAAATTAGAAAAGTAATTGTCAAAGTTATTATATGTTTGGAGAGATTGACTTTGAGTGTATATAATGTCATTGTAAAAATAATAAATGAAGGAATTGTAAAAATACAAACCATTAATAAAATGTGAAACTTAATTATACTAGATAGTCACATACATAATATGTGTACTTGTAATTTTTTTAGTACCATGTAAACAGAACATAAGAACCTTGTATTTAATTAACTTTATTCATTGCCAGGTAGATTTTAAGTTTTTCCCTAAGTACATAGATTGCTCTGATCATACGTTAATATTTATTTACCAGTACTATGGATCTCAGTGTCTTAATTAATTTTGCAATTATATCACTTGTTTATTACAGCTACATATACAAACTGTTGTTTAAAAAATAATCACTTTGATTTTTTTTTCAATGTTTAGTCTTACGTAAATTATCTGCTTCTTAGACAAGACAGTACATGCAGAAAATCATCAAACCTGGGATGAAAATGATTGATATATGGTAATTGTTATTTTTGTTTTTCTTATTAGAATTTATATACTGCCCTGCCAAAACATGGAGTGGTATTCATAAAGGGTGGTGGATATTCTAGTTCTTACAGACTTGATGCAGTGTAGAACAACTCTTTGTCTTAAATACTTGCCATTATTGTGCAAAGCATGCTCTCAACTAAATTCCAGTATGTTTCTGGTGCAATATATCTCCAATATTATTTAGAAGACATCACCACTTAATGATGAATGGAAAGCAATGGGTTTGGTTTAATCTTTCAAATTAGCCCATCTACATGATCTGAAAGATGCTCTATATGTTTAATATCTGGTCAACCATTCCGAGGTTTTGATATTTTTACTTTGAAACCAGCCATGGGTTGTAAGTGCTTTGTGTCAGGAAATATCTTTTCAAACAAGACACTAACCTCATGATAAAAAAACTCCCATGCATTTGACATTTATTTAACATCTCTAGATATATATGAATAATCTGTGTTTTCTTAGTAACTTTATAGCTGATAAACATTATGATACTAAAGGGGAAAAGAAATTTGAGCAGCACTTCTGCAATAAATAATGTTGACATTTTGAGTATGATTTTAATAGCCTTAAAAATTATATAGTCTTGGAAATATGTTCTAATTCTAAGAGCATTTGTAACATGCAAGTTTATCCATATTATTTTACAGATAAAATTATAAAACATTGTTTCACTAAGATAGGGTAATTACCTTTATATTATATTACTAATGGTGAAATATCATAATCCTTGATCTAGTTTTGCTTGCCATGTCAAGCGGTTGTTAATAATAATTTGTATAGAAATTTTTATTACTTGTCCCAGGCTTATGATCGATAGATTTTTTCAAATCCTCTATTAAAGGTTTTTCATTACACATTGAACTCAATAAAAATGTAAGGCATATTCACCTGCTTACTAGAATTCTTGTTTATTTCTGAAATTTAGTGATGGTATGTAACAACTTTTTAAAATATACATCTTATAATGTTTGATTGCTTTAATCTTAGAAATAATAATTTTAAAACTTATTTTGATAAAGTATTTATGGTTAACAATATCACTTAGTGAACAGCTGGAAAGTACAGCCAGAAAACTTATTGGCGAGAATGGACTAAAAGCTGGTTTGGCCTTTCCAACAGGCTGTTCCCTAAATAACTGTGCTGCACACTACACTCCTAATGCTGGAGATGAAACTGTTCTTCAGGAAGATGATGTTTGCAAAATTGACTTTGGAACACACATAAATGGTAATTATTAGTATTGACAAATAGTAAAATTTAGTGAATAGGTAATTGAGAAAGAACCATTTCATTTCTGTGTTAAAAAATTTCTTATCCATATGCTACTCATCAAAATAGTTATTTGATAAAAGTCTGTGTTTCTGTTTATAATTGGAGAACCTGCCAGTTGGCACCAAACCTACAGAAAAGCTGTGTGTAATTTTTGGCACTTTTTTTTTTTTAAAGGCTAAGAAAATTATCCTTTACCATGAGGAGTCTTTGAAGGTTTAAAATCCCATTTTATAAAAAGATAATATTTGTATTTAATAAAGCCACTATTATTTTATTTGGTATTTTTGAATTGCTCAAATGTATATAGATATAATACTAAGATTTTCTTGAATATTTCAGGTCGTATTATTGACTGTGCTTTCACTTTGGCATACAACACAAAATATGACAAGTTGTTAGAAGCTGTAAGGGATGCTACTAACACTGGAATTAAGGTAGCAAAATATATACTATTATCAAAAATTTTCTCTGATTAGGCTACAAGGTATCTTGGTTTTTATTAGCAAAAGTAAATGCTTTGTTGAATGCATAGTGTGTAGAAATACAATTTGCATCATGAAAAACTTCTGGAATTGACTCAGTTTTTTGTTATATATAAGTGTGTGTCTTTTTGATAATTGTAATAGTTGTTATTCATTTAAACCTTTGTACCAATTTCAACATACAATGTTTTTGAAACAAACTTAGGCTAGGCATCACAACTTTTTCAGTATAATAAAACTGAATTACAAAAAGGGTAATATTTGAAGAAGAAAAGTTACACCTAAGGTAATTTCACATTACTTTACACACTATTGTGTTTGAGTATGTTATATTAAAATGATTTTGGAGTTTTACCGTATCCTTATATTCCATGTCACCATGTCTGGTCGTGTTCTATCTGACAACCATGCATCTTGAGAATAGCTCTGCAACATAGTATCCATTGCAAAATGATTTATTGTAAGGCTTATGTTTAAAGCACACCCCTTCTCCTTGCAGCTTTCCATAATCCATCTGTTGTATGAGAACAATGGTTTCCCAGCACCTGTTTCAACTTTCTGATAACACAGAAATCCATAGATACTGCATTTAGCATCTTGACCAGTATATCTTTATATGGAATAGCATGAATATCCATTTCATTCTGCAGCTGCTTTAGGTTTGTGACTGTTGTTGAACTGATATGTTGTGGAAAACAACTTGTGTACATATGACTTGTCACTTTTCCAGACAAGGATTTGTTGATTATGTTACATAATGTTGCCTAGGGCATGTAGATGACTTTTGGCACTGATCTTTATGTTACTCACTCATGAATACTCACCTATTACAAAATGCCATACTTTGCTTACCATGACAAGGATATGATTTGTTTCAGGTTTCTTTATGTATAGTCTAGTGCCCTAAGTTGATCCGTATTCCTTTACTTTTCAAGGCCATGAAGTACAAGGGATATCCCTGTCTTGGGAATTCTCAGTCCTTGGTTGGAACACATTTTTTAGAGTATGAGTGTACGAAAATTTTACATCAGAAAGGGCTGTCATACCCTTCTCAAAAGCGATAAATATATTGGGTAGCATCACACTACCCATGGAACACCAAACAATGTGAGAATGTAGCTGTAATACATGCTGTACCACCATGGAATTATATTGGCTGTGGTTCTCACATTACTTGATGACTTGCATCGTTTGTTACAGAGAATCCTATTTAGTTAGTGAATGGCAACAGAAGTAAAGGAAAAGGTTATAAAAAGTCCATAGAACTTACAAGAACATTAATAATGACATTGAAATCTCTATTTAAAATCATATTATACAAACAAAATTTTCTTTGTAGTTGCTGCTGTTTTGTGGTAAATGATTACATTAAATTACTTCATTTACCTGTCTGCCAGAGTTTTTCTGTTGAGTTGTTGGAAAGACATCTTCTAACAAAAGAAAATACAACTTCAGATAAAGCATCTGAAAGCAAAAAATGGGAAAGAGCAGTGTTTACTGTGTTGAAACAATATAAATTTGATTAGTGGTGCAGAGAAATTAGATGTAAAATTTAATAAATACATCGTCAGGATGTGGATCTGTAGGTGTGCTGATTTAATGGCTTCAAAAATATAATTAAATCATTTTACATACTAAATTCAAGTTTTTAAAGAGAATATGGAAGTGCTCTTTTTTGTATAAACAAGAGTATTAAAATTATGAATTTTATAATGAAGTAGGGATCCTGCTATGAAAAGTAATACAAACAAGAATTAAACCACAATCAAAAATTTTTAAAATTTAATCCTTTGGTCTACAGGGAAGTGTATA